ATTGTCCGAGATGAAGACTGAATGAGGGCAACATTAAAAAACAGTCGAAAAACTCTTATGAGAAAAAATTAACTGAATTGAATGACCAACTTGATCTTGAAAGAACCACTGCTCAACAGGCTAAAGCATAGAAGAAGAAATATGCAGACAAACTCAGAGAATCGAAACAGAAAAGAAAGAAGCACAAAACGAGGCTGGTTTAGAAACAAGCTAAACAGTATGACAGAAAGGTCGAAGAAGCTGAGAGATAGCTTGCAGAATTTGAACAAAAAGAATCTTCATTCAACACTCAAATTGGTAAGACACAACCCGATTTGAAGAAGACACAACAATCGGTCAGAGACGGTCAATTGAGAATTGCCGAGTTGGAAGACAGGTCAGAAAGGCTGGTGAATATCTGAACAACAAACAACTTGAAGTCAATCGGGTGAGTACAAATACTATTGATGACTAAGAACAATTTGATTCAAATAAAACAAGAAAAGACAAAGATAAATAATTATTATTGTTATAGTTTTTTTAAATTAAAATCTGGTTTAAATACAAGAGTCTAGTTATCAAAAAATATAATATTTTTATTATTTTTTATAGTTTAATTTCAACTAGATGCCTCCATCTAGAAGATGGACTCTAATTTAGAGTCTTACTTAGAGTCTATGGGTAGACTCTAATAATTCCACAAGAAATGCCTTTTCAAATAATTTTTATTTAGTGATGGATTTTTCCAATGACAAAAAACATTGGTGATGTTCTATTTGTGATAAAAAACCAGGGTTTTTATCACAAATCAATACAAATTGATAAAGCCATTTTTACTTTATTTGTAGAACTTAAAAATACATTTAAAAGTAGCGAGAAGAGGAAGCGAGAAGAGGAAGCGAGAAGAGGAAGCGAGAAGAGGAAGCGAGAAGAGGAAGCGAGAAGAGGAAGCGAGAAGAGGAAGCGAGAAGAGGAAGCGAGAAGAGGAAGCGAGAAGAGGAAGCGAGAAGAGGAAGCGAGAAGAGGAAGCGAGAAGAGGAAGCGAGAAGAGGAAGCGAGAAGAGGAAGCGAGAAGAGGAAGCGAGAAGAGGAAGCGAGAAGAGGAAGCGAGAAGAGGAAGCGAGAAGAGGAAGCGAGAAGAGGAAGCGAGAAGAGGAAGCGGAAAATGCTAAATTATAAATCATTTAAATTTGTTTTCTGTTTACAAAGCATGTTTTTGAATAACCCTCAAAAAGTTTTTTGGTTGTATTATTTATTTCAATTCGAAATTGAACTAACAAGTAATACCCCCTCTTTGATGTTTTTCTATCTTGTCATGTATTTTCTAATTATAAATTGGTGTTATTGTTATTATGTTTGACGTTTTAATATTAAATAGTGCCGTCTTTTGATAATATTTTGATAATTTATTAATAATTATATACTGGTTCTGTTTTTTGGATCTTATTATTGTTTTTGTCTCATAGTTTCTATTGGTAGTATTATAATA